ATATAATATAGAAAAGTTTGGGAGAGCCGTGGCTCGTCCATGACACTACTAAAATCCGTCTCTGTACACAAGGCAGGATTCGAACCCCTGACCTTGCTTAAGCGTGGATCAACCTCTACCACTGAACCACACGCTTAGGGTTAAAAAATCACAGTTAATGCCAACAGTTGGATAGCTAAAAAGCTATACATCATAAGAAACATACAACCGCACTTTAACTCGTTTACCTCTATATTTGAAGAACAATTTATATTTGAAGAACAATTTTTTCCTGTCACTTGTACTCTCCTACCTTGACCAATGATATGTTGCTATGTCGGGTAATGAATTTCATTTTAGAGTTTGCTACTGAAAAAAATATTAGACTACAATCAAGTAATCTAGATAGTAGAAATATATTTAATTTCTATTTTAAACAAATGCTTTTATTTATCACAACAAAAAAATAGGTAATTACTAGCAGTTTTTTTTTGCAGTTTTCATAAACCACCAAAAAATGTTACATTTGTGGCATGGATGGTAACCATTGTTGACATTTTCTGGTGGTTTTAAATCCCATGAATGGTAATCACTACAAGTGTTGACACTTTTTGACGATTTTAAATCCTCAAATTTTTCAATAATTTTTATTAATTTTTTTTTTGTTGATTATACATGTCTTCCACATGACTGAAGCAGTTCTTTTATGAAATTAAAAAATAAATAAATAACTTCAAAATCAATTTAAAAGAAAATAGAAAACAATTTATTTTGTTAACAAATTAAGAATCCTAACATCAAATTGAAACTCACGAAAAGTTATTTCCCAGACTCACACATGAAACTCATTTCTTTACAAAACCCGTAGGCATTGAAGTTCATTTTTCATAGGATCTGCACGCAAGAGATGGTGAAAATTGATTTGAAATTCAAAACCGACTACTAAGAGATGATGAAAAATTAGAGTGATGAGTATTTTTATCATCAAATAATCAGGACTCAGGACTTGGTTAGTAACCATGTATTGGCGATTTTATTAGATCCTAGCCTTGGTGCAAGAAGTTTAGGATTGTTTGAGCAATGATTCTGAAAATTTTGTTTCTAAGAAATTTTAGAAATATGTAAAATAATGTGACCAAGAAAGCATTGATATAAAATTTCTTTTCATTCGTGTTTCTTTAAGGAGAAGATGTCAACAGAAATGAGTCAAAGTGACAACTCTGATGAAGTTTCAACTAATGATAGTATTAGTAAAGTGTTGGGAAAAAGATCATGTTGGAGGTGTATGTTGCTTAGGATTAGGAGGTCTACATAGTGTTGTATTTCAATCATCCACAAGATTTAGTGATGTAGGGTGCAATTCTTCAAATTTTGATTCCGTTGAAAAT